GAATTGATTTGATGAAAGCTATGTTTTCGATATTTATGCTTTATGGCTTCATTCTTTAACTGTTTGAGCTTACTAGGCGTAAGCCTAATTTTTTTTTTTTTAAATGACATGTATATTAGGATCTTAATATAGAGGGGCCACTAACACTTGAGCAGAGTGATGATTGCCGATAGAGACATTTTTGAGTCATCATTTTTTGAAGGACAATTGGAGTTAGGGGTTGTTTGTTTACTTTTTAATAGTTCCATTAAGAGGTAGATTTTGAATCATTAAGAGGTGAATCTTGTTTGACAAAAAAAAAAAACTGCTTCTTAATGATTCTATTACTCTTTGAATGATTTTGTATCTTAGGGCTCCCTTAACCATTAAACGCTCTGATTTCATCGTAAACAATTACCAAACAATTATATTTCATTTTGTACTATATCATGAGAGCCTCTTAATCATTCTGCACCGAACCATTCACCAACTGCCAAACAGCCCCCTTACTTATGGTAGATTCTTTTGTAGTGACATTTGATCGTAATCTAAATCTAGAATTGGTTTAGATTAGTAGGTTGTTAGTTACTATCCATTATTTTAATGTAAACTCTTGTATAATTTTTCCATTATTAGGTGATTTTATTTAACTACGTATTTATTCAGTCTTATCATACGGTTTAAATTGGTTCCTATTTTAGGGGTGTTACACTTTTATACCCTTAATTTTATCATAACCCTAGACAGTAGTCTGGGGCTAAGGGATACCCACAACTACATACTGATTAAAGTTTTTTTGGCTATAAATATCCAAACACGCCACCGTTTTGAGAGACAAAACCCTAGACCTCACACACATCAGACTAAACAAGACGATAGTTTGCCCATTTATTGTTCTATTGCAAATCGATTTTACGTTTATTTTTCAACGCTTTATATCTAAGACCAAAAGTATAGGGCCAACTACTACAAGTACGGTGATATCAATGCTACGAGTACATCTATACTACTAGAGTCTTCAATGGTATATTTAGGACGCTAAGTGTTCTTTCTTCTTCGTCTGAAAGTAAGATATAGGTATAGTCATGTCTATTACATTTTTACCCTCGAGCCGTCTATGATTGCTATATATTTACGAAGTAAATGAATTAAAGTATGTTCTTTTATTTTTTAAATATTAAATAAATTATGTTGTCTGATTTAATAAATACTTAAGAAAGGATCTAATATAGATATTTTTAAATAAAGAAATTGACCAAAATAACCAATCAGGCTATAACCACATTTTCAACAAACTGATCGAAATAGCTGAAGATCAGGCAAAGCATAACCCACTTTTATTTTTATTAACTTGGATATTCAACCCGCTATGCGAGTTGACTAATCCCAGGACGACCACCTGCTTTGCAAATAGCCCGGAGTCATCGCATTTGAACATCTGTGGCCACAAGGGGGTTTTTATTCAGCATAACCCACTTTTTAATATATTATTCAGAAATAGTAGATATTGCGTAAGCGCTACTTGCGTAATGTTTACTTTTTTGCTTGTCCATGTAGAATTTGTTTGCAACATAGACATTACGCAAGTAGCACAAAGCAAGTTACGTAATGTCTACTTTTTCTGACTCTTACATTAAAAAAGTGGGTTATGCAAGTTACGTAAGTGTTACTTGCGTAATCTTCAATTATTTCGATCAATTTATCAAAAAAATGGTTATAAAACAAAAAGAGGGATCAAATCGACAATCTTGAACAACAATAATTTTAAATATCCTTCAACAATAATGATATTATAATTTTTTAGGGTAGTATCCTAATACCACGAGAAAAACCTTAAAACACCAAAAAAAACCAAATCTGGTAGGTTTATTAACACATAAAAAAAACAACTTTAACCACAGTAAAAAAAAACACCAAATTTATGGATCCCGCATTAAAGTAAATACTAAATATTAAATGAAATTTATTTAAAATTTAAATAAATAACCAAATCAAGATGAATGGTAGGCCTAGGTTTTCTGAAATTTCTGCCGTGTGAATAGTATCCTCCAAATGTGGAGGTCGTCTCACTTTCTCTCTTTAATGAATGACAATTTTTTTTTACAGTTTTACGGTCCGATTAAAGAAGGTAAAATGTCAAATTTGGGTCTTTATACCACAATTAGAGATGCTCTAATATAGGCCAATGCATCTAAAATTGTGCAATTTTTATTACCACATAAGAATTGTAGATGGATGTAAATTACTATTGAGCATGTTGACCAAGTCAAAACTTATAAAGTCAAATGTCATAAAATATAATTATTTAGATAAAAAGATGACTGTCGATAATTTTAATCGATTGTAAACAAAATTTGTGTTTTATGGATGTTAATGTCAAAGCGTATATTTTAGTTTGTTCATTGTTTTAAGCCAGATAAAAAAAATATTATTACTGTAATGTATTATGTAGTAAAAACGGTTATAGATTATTTTGTTAAAATATATAATATTTATATATGACAAATACAACAAATAAACTCACACATCATCCTTATCTTTGGTGAAGTTTGAATGTCATGACCTCCTAGGAGGCTAAAAACTGTGATATCATTAGGCTAAAAACCTTTTGGTTGGTTATAGATCGTTTATTACGAGGAAAAGTCTATAATGAGTTGTTGGAATTCGAAATAAAAAGGAAAAAGAAACCTTTTAAAGATTGCATAAAGTAAGAAACATGTTTTTATTTATTTTAATATTAAACATGTTTTTGTCAAAATATTGGACCATCCGAAATCCGGTCTTCATCTTGGCTATATGACTTATGGTATGTTTTTGGTGTCAATCTAACTTAGGGATTGTCTGTTTACCTCTTAATAGTTTCATTAAGATGCAAACGCTGAATCGTTAAGAGGTGATTCTTGTTTGACAAAAAAAAAAGTTTGTCTCTTAATGGTTCCAAAACCCTCTGAATGAATTTGAATCATGGGCCTCCGTTAACCATTCAGCGTCATGATTTCGTTGTAAATAGTTAACAAACAATTATATTTCATTTTTGCACTATATCGTGAGAGTCTTTTAATCATTCTGCACCAGACCATTCAACAGTTTTCAAACAATCCCTTATCTTCAATTAGTCTTTACTTCTACTGAAAGCACTTTGCTCGGACTAGACTGTACCAGAAAAGAGGACTTAAAGATAGTTACAACGGAATTCCTATTTAGAAGGATGATTGGATATTCAAATTACAAGATGTTTTTCGGATACACCAAAACTGGATCCTCCTTTAATTTTCGATCTTGGACCGTCAGATCCTATATAAATCTAACATCTCGAATCCTCTTTGTAAAAGTTCGATACATGCATAAAGTACATTCTTAACACACTTTAAGTATTTAATCAGATATTATATTATCTTATCTTTAATCTGAATATCTGAGTCTAACAATTGCCATATTATGCATTTAATTACGACCAATAAATAACTTGTTTGGTATTATTTTAAATGAATCTGTTTGTAAAACCCAACAACTAAATTAAATATATTTTCAACTTTATAAACTAATTCATAATCGACTGATAAAAATGTTCAAATGCGAAATAAATGTTAAAGCCTATTAATACAGCAAAATACTCCATAAAACTAATAATCAACACAATACTTTTCTTCCTTTCAAAACCACACAATTTCATAAAATAAATTAAAAATATAAATATTTTACACTGCATTGCACAAATTTCTCGATTAATAGCATAAATTTATGTATATGTTCATCAATAAATGTTAAAATATTAAAAAAAAAAAAAGTTAACACGATTGATTAAAGTCGAAAAATCGTATAAAAATTAGGAGTTGATTGGAGGAATGTAAGAAACGATTTGGACAACCGATTACATTCAAGTTTTAATCTCAAACCAACTCATAAATTACAGTTTATAAGGGAATTGAATGAGTCTAACTCATTAATGTTGATATGGTGTTTCTCTTCAATTAAGATTGATCAAAAAAGAAAAAAAAGATCCTTTGTTATTAGAGGTGGCAAAAAATGACCAAACCCGTTAACCCATTCCCAATCCAAAATTAGCAGGCTGGGTAGAGATTTTCAGCTCATTTAAATAAATGGGTTAACCCGCCCAACCCATTAAATAAATGGGTTGGGTTAGGTTGAATTATTTGACCTGTTTCTAACACATTTAAAATATTATATAATTTTACTTTATTCTTAATATTATATCTAGTATTTTAATTTTTTTATTTTGTTTTATTCTTAATTAAAAATCCTACATTCGTGAGATGAAAGTCCAAATTCCAATCTCCTCCATTACTCTCAATCATCATGAAACCCTAAAAAAACCTTTTAGTCTATTACTCCATGGTCGCCTCCAAAGTCCAATCCTACTCTTCCAAGTCTGTTGTCCGGCTCTCGCCCTCTCGATCTCGACTCTCTCTCCGTGTAACGTTTTTCTTTCTCTCGGCTCTCTCTCCGTCCAGCATTTGTCTAATTGTCTCCCTCTCGGGTTTCTCTCCTTTTTTTATTTAAAATGTTAAAATTAAATGAGTCAACCCACGTTCAACCAATTTATTTAACAGGTTGAGTTAAGAAAATCGTAAACAGATCAACACACTGTCAACCCATTTAGGTAACAAGTTGGGTTGAGTTGAAAATTCCCAACCTATTTAATTAAATAGATTGGGTTGAGATCTTCAACTTGTTTGCGACCCCTACTTGTTATCCTTTCTATCATTACTTTAATTATTACCAGAACCCAATCCAATGATCAAATTTCTCAATTTTATTTCTAAAAATAAATTGTATCAATCATGAAATAAAATACTTGTATTAAATTATAATATTTTATTTTATATTTAAAAATAAAAAAAAATAAAAAAATAATGATTATATTGGGGAATAGGTTTAATTTCTATATATTGCTGGCCGTAAAAATTATGGAGGACAACGACGGATCATCCTTAATAGTTAAGACACCAGTGTCGGATTCGGTCCCCGCCCTACCACCGTATACCCCTCTCCCTCTCTCTAAACACCAAAAAGGCATCTTATCTATATCATCATGTAGTCATGGTCATAATACAAGTAGAATTGAATTGAAACTTGTGGACCGAACAGAAAAAACGTTGCTTTCCCTCTACTCCAAATGCTTTGATGATGAAGTAAATCCCTAAAAATTCCACCATAGATATGCACCTTCATCCGCCATTGAAGCTGCTGCAACATCCATCCACCCTCTTTTCTTTTGCTTCTTTTTTGTGGGTGCAAAGTCAGAGGTTTTTGATTAAAGAAAGAGAAAGAGAAAGGTGAACGTCTTTTCTCTGCCGCGGAAAGTGGGAAAGTACCATTTTGACAGTTCGTTTCTTCCGTCATTTTCCGTCAGCGCTGCTTTTAATTTTTTTCAGTTTTCCACCTCCACTTGAATTGTGATTTTGCTTCCTACAATCGTTTTCATCGGAATATTTGCTTCTGTGGCTTCGTCTTTCTTCGCTTTTTTTTTGTATTTTGATGGAGAAACGTGAAGAAATGGGTGTGGACTCGTTTCAATTCGGTGAAGAAATTCAGAGCTTGATGTCGGTTGTACAACCGCCGGAGGCCGGCAATTCGTTCACGGCTCTACTTGAACTCCCGCCGAATCAGGCCGTGAAGCTCTTACACTCCCCCGAGGAAACCACACCTAATATTTTCCCCTCGGTGTTTGCCGTCATCGAAACGGACAATTCACTGGACACAACGAGCTCAATTCGCCCGAATTCGAGCCCTAATAACTGCAATTTGGTGAAACAAGAACCTATTGATTCCTATTCCTTACATAATTCATCACCTATGCAGTCAGATCCGATAATCTCGAAATCAGCGAAGCGTAAGGAACGAGAAAAGAAGGTTTGTGACTTCCTTCATCACTTCTACAATCTGGTGTTCCAATTTCCGGTAATTGAGTTCTAATTCCATCAATCTACCGTGAAAATTTAGGTTAAATCATCAGCCAAGAAGAGCAAAAACGTCGCCGATGAGACAGACGGCGAGAAGCTGCCGTACGTCCATGTTCGTGCTCGGCGGGGTCAAGCAACAGACAGCCATAGCTTAGCAGAACGAGTAATCGTCATAATTAGTCCAAATAATCATGTTTAGTTAACATTAACCTTATTTTATTCACAAATGAATAATTTACTTTTCCAACTAATTTGGCAGGCAAGAAGAGAGAAAATCAATGCTAGGATGAAGCTCCTTCAAGAACTGGTCCCTGGTTGTAATAAGGTTAGCTTCAAGAACTGGTACTTGCATTGATCACTTGTACTGTACAAATGGGTAATGCATGTCTACATTGCTTTTCTCATTTTATAATCAATCTGATTAGCATTAGGCTTTCTTGATTAAGGGTTTGAATAAAATACCGATAATATCCTCGATTTGTTCTTCTCTTTGCATAGCAGGACAGGGGTATGGATGCAATGTAACTTGCTATTTGGTTTCCCTTGAGATTGAGGGTTCATGGTTTTAGTCTCAGGAAGCGAATAGCGCAAGATTTATGTAGTCGTAGTCTGCATAAATCTTTAGAGGGTATTCCCTACGAAGTCTTACACCCACATTTAACTCGAATTTTATTAGGCGTTTCAGCTTAACACCCTTGCGGACATAAACCAAGACAAGACAAACCAAACAAGCCTGGTATAACTTGTGGGATTAGCTCAACTGGCAATAAGGATTGGGTCATGCCATCCTCCTCGAAAGTCGCCTGTTCGAGTCCTGCAAAGCCACTGGGAATTTTCCCTCAAGGTCCCCTGGTATTAGTCGATGTGCGCTCAAGCTGGTCTGGACACCCATGGTAACAAAAATTAAAAAAACGAGCCCAGTATATTCCAGTCTGATTATGGGGGGTGGGATGTGCGCAGACCTGTTCTCTACCATTTGGTCATGAGTTCTAGAAATTAAGCTTCGATTTTAAGTAGTGAGAACATGTCTACTCTTGCTTCACTTGGTTGTGTGTGTGTGTTTTCTGTGACATTTGTTCTTTTCTGAAGTTATTGAAGTTATGGGCATGTTTATGGTTGCCTGCACTCCATTGTGCCGGGTGCGATGATTAAGGTCACTTGACCACAATACCTTGCTTTTAGTGAGTCGGGTGCAATGATTAGGGTCCCAAGGGAGAATGCTTAATTCAACGTGTCTTTGAACTTGAGAAAATTGGTTCATCCCTATTCCTAATGAATAGTCGAAAAAAGTGTTTGATATTTGTCGATAATGAAAGTATCGAACTATATTTGTCTTGCAGATTTCAGGTACAGCAATGGTGCTTGACGAGATTATCAATCATGTACAATGCCTGCAACGTCAAGTGGAGGTTAATTCTATACAATCTTCATATCTATTTGCACCCAACATGAAAAATGTTTAAATGTTCTCTTCTTATGAGCACTCTTGTTTGGAAGACGTCTCGATGATGTAAGAAAAACAAGATCCAAAAAAATTTGGTCCTAGGGGTGTGTTTGGTACACGTGGCATGAAAGAACAAAAACTTGTTGGCCCACGTTTGGAACGAGAACAGACTTGACCAGACAGAGACTGACATCTTTGTGCAACCAAAATATAGGTGGAACAAAAATCACGGAGATAGGACAAGATTGGTAAATTATTAAACTACCCATGTAAAATTAAAACCCTAAAACCTTTAACAATTCTTTCACTTCAGTCCTGCCCGCTACCCAACGCACCCTTAATTATGAAACTTGTCTTGGACAGTCTGTGTTAAAGATTGGGATGGTTATAAAACAAAAGAGGAAGTTTAGCCTCTTACCAATTTCATAAATATAGAAAACTCTATTTCTTGGTTATGGTACAACACTGGCAGTTGAGTTAAAAATATAACCCTATGTCAAAAACATATTCATTGTCTAACGATTTTCTCACCCAGAGTTGTCATAATTACCTCCGTTTCCAATGGCTTACGTCATTTGTTTTTCTGCAGTTCTTATCAATGAGACTGGCTGCTGTCCACCCGAGTATCGATATCAACCTTGAGAACATGTTCTCTGCAGAGGTAACGGTTACGGAGTCCTTTTGCCTATTTATATGCAATTTCACATGGATTCCTCTCAGGTTTTTACTTGTATAAAAGTGTTCATACCTTCTTTCTGGTTATCAGCATCTGTAAACAAATGCATATAAGTTCCCTTAGAAAATGAAGTTAATGAACGTCTGTCATAATTTCCCTAAACTTACCGTAGAAAAATATCTTGGAAGGACAGGGTTTATGAGAATATGGGAATAAGTTGGCATCGAAAATTGGTCCCCGCCCATGTCAGTATTCGACAACTTCATCAATTAGTTTCAGTTTGAGGGTAGAAATTGCAACCAGCATATTTACTCTTGTGGGTCTGCACATTCAAGCCACTGTTTCATTTGGGTACTATGCAATTCATGGTAGGCATATATAAAGAAAGCCATTAATGTGGTTATGTAGGTGGCTCGTCCTTTGTCTTGGGACAAAGGTGACATCTTTTGGATCAATGGCCCATCGGCATCTGGGTTACCCGTAGATATAGATAATAAAAAATTGAGGAACACCCTAATAACCATTCATCTCTACGGTATGCATATGTGCATATAAAGCAAGAAACATGCACAGAAAATAGGAAACATTTTCAATTACTTTACTTTTATGCACATGTGTATGCTGTACAGAACGGTTATCAAGTGTTACCCAATTTTCAATTTTTTGTGGTTTTCTTTCTAACATGAGTCTCTCTCTCTATATACTTGAAACAAGGAAAAGGGGGATAACCTTTGTATGAATTCGTTTTAGCCTTTGATGTTTTGCAGAGTGGGTCACTTATGGACTGTAATTTCGGTGGCCTGGTTTCATCGGTAGATGGACAACTGAATGGAAGCAGCCACCACCAGCAGCAGCTATGGCACACTGATGCGCTACCTCCCCAGCCGTTATGGGGTGGGGAAGAGGTCACCCCTAACTTCATCACACCAGAAAACTCTCTTCTAAGTTACGACTCTTCTGGCAATTCAGGTAAAATTATCTGAAAGGACATTTACAAAACTAAATGGAAACAAGTGTAGAAAATCCTCTAGAGCTTATTGAAAAAGGCTAGCTCTAGCTCATGGTTAACTAACTAAACTTAGTTTTTCAATAAGCTCAACAAAGAAGGTAACTTATGATATATAGTGCGTGTTCGTTTTGTGCAGGTTGTTTACATACGAACCAGCTGAAAATGGAGTTATGAAGACGGGATTCGGGTGAGTGGTAGGGTAGGGAGCATTGTATATATGGGAAGAAGAAAGTTATGGATAGAATATAGCAGCAGAGTAAGTTAGAGAGAGAAGAAGAAGGAGGAGGAGGTTGCTGAATGATTGATAAGTAGGCTTAGAAATGCATCCAGATTTGAGTATATATAATTATATATGAATGATATATCATATTATATATGAGTTTGGAGTCTGTGTCTGTCCATGTAGCACTTCTCCATTCTGAGGTTCAGCCAGTCTTGTGCCCTACTTACACCATTCATGCCATTCATTTATGCTCTTCTTCAACATTTGTTCATTATAACCACAAGGGTGGTGTCTGATTGGTTTAAGTTTGGCTCTAAAGGTCAAAAGTATCAGGAGGTCTCAAGTTCAAATCYAAGGAGGAATAAAAATCTCCTTGTGGTCACGGATATTCAAATACGGTGACTCCGGAGTATCTGCAAAGCATGTGGTTGTCCTGAGATTAGTCGGCTCACATAGCGAGTTTGATATCCAAGTTGTTAATAAAAAAAATGCAAAAATTGAAAAGAAACATCAAATGCATCACATCAAGTGTGATGTCTTTTGGGACAAAGTATCGGAGTTGATAGCGCACAAACAATTGTGGGTTTTTTGATGTTTTTTGATAGATACATGGAACCTTCCAAGTCCACCAAATTCACGTTCATATCATAACTTTTATGTTTTCGGAACAATAAATCAACGAGAATCTTGAACTGTTTTAAATTATGATACCATTCGATCATAACAGATGATATAATATATTTTTAACAAAATCATGATGACTCAATTAGTTAGTTGTTAGTTTTTCGGTAGAAAAGGCTCGGTTATATTCCTTAAACCCAATAAAAAGGTAAAAAACAAGTATTTTAACACTAACAATATTTATACCCAAAGCAAAACGATTGATAAACGAACACCACCATCTTAAATTTCTATCATAAATATAGAATTTAAAAATATAGAGAAACATAATTTTTTTAGTAAACTACGATTTTAGTCTTTCTGGTTTTAAAATTATAATTTTTCATCCTTATGGTTTGTATTTTATTGTTATTTTCGTCCTTAAGACAATGTTTATTAAAAATCCTCCATTTAATCTAGGGGTATTATAGTCTTTTTGATTTTTTTGATTTTTGGTTTATTTAATATACTTTTTGGTTTCGCTTTTAGTATTTTAGTATTGTTTTTTTTAATAAAACTATATATTTTTTATAAAAGAATTAATACATAAAAAGTTATATTATTTTGTAACTTTTTATGATAAAATAATTAAATATTTTTCATACAATTTGTTTTTTCATATTTTTTTGGTCATTATAATTTTACTTTCTTATTAGTTCGACTATTGCCACTAACTTAATTCGAATTCAAGCTGTTGATTTATCTTTTCGGATCTGTATTTAAACAAACATGTCATATAAAAAAGTTAATTGAACACTTTATTTTAAAAAATGTTCTAAAAAGACGTCTAAAATACTTTATAAACTTATTGTAACATTTGTATATAAGACATACATTTTTTTGGTATAACTGAATGACTTATGATACCAAAAAATTATATAGGTCTTATTAATAAAATTACATACAATTGTTTGATAAAAATAGTTAATTGTTTGTACCTATGAAAAATATAATACTTTGTTATTTAATTAAGAAAAAAGACGTAAAATACTTTAACGTAAAAAGTACTTAAATGATTTACACTTGAACAATGGTAGTAGCAGGGATCGCACTCATAAGAAGCTAAAATTTTAATGACAAATAAATCAAAACTATAAGGGTACTCACGCAATACAATGATATAAATCTCGATTTTAATGTTTATTGTTTATTCTTTGTCTCTATCGATATAATACGATTTTATATGAGTTTGAGAAAACGGTTATGTTTTTATTTTTAAATGAAATATAAATTTGAAGATAACATAAATTTTATGTGGTTTTGATGTAACTTCTTTAATTCAATTTTTATTATTATAATTTAATTTAGATTTAATAACAAAGTAATTTATTTTTGGTTTAATAATATAAATTTTTATAAAAATAATAATTAAGTATATTATTAGAATTCAATAATTATTCTAATTATATTTTAGTTTTTTAATATTTAAAATTAAATGTTTATTCTCTATTTGATTATGTTTATTTAAAGTTAGTTATACGAATTCAAACATGAAGCTTTAATAAGTTGTACTCACGCACAATTTACTTGTAATCTTGAATTTTAAATAATATGCATCAATAAACAGTACTTCATGCATAAAAAATGATTTTTAAGAGTTTTTGTCAAATGTTTTATAATATAGTATAGATATATCAAAAAAGTATGTTTTTATTTTTACAAAATACAAATTACATCATTATAATCTTCTCGTAAATACGTTTAAGATGAATTTTATTTAACTCTCCAAACCACAAACCAAACTTTAATGACGATTTAGAAAATTTTGCAAACCGAGCTGTTTGGCAGCACGTGATCAAACCGGACCACAAAAAAAGGGGGTCTGGTCTGACAGATTTAAACGGTTTGGGCCTTTGATGAACTTTAAACTTAGAAAAAACATACATCTATATTGAAAATGAAATTTCTACCAATATAACATTATTAATAAAAGATATATATATATATATATATATATCTCTGTAACTAAAAAACATCGATCAAATTGAAAATATGTTAAGCAAATCAACTAATAATCGTTGGAATTTTGGACAAATATTGAGCAAGTCGAAAGATGATTTGGAAATTTAGATTGATTTTTGACGAACTTTAGAATTTTATCAGTTCAGTCTAGACATAACGTCTTAGACAAACTTTTTTAATTGCCATAAAGTTGAATTTGTAACATGAAAACTAAATATAACTAATATATGCGTATTTTTGGCGGTCGGTTCGGTACAGATCGTTAAAAAAATGTTTAAACAACAGATTTGACTAAACTGAATGGTTCGACAATTTTACAAACCAGACCAGACCGGAACGGAACGAACCACCAGATTACTAAAACCGTTAAAAACGATCCAGATTAACTTAATTTGACGAGTTTAAACAGTCCAATGACTTTTTTAAACACCTCTACTTTATAACTTTAATAATCGATGCCAACATGACAATTCTCTCTATTCACGAAAGTAATTTTAGGGGCTGTTTGACAATTGTTGAATGATTTGGTGCTGAATGATTAAGTGACTCCCATGATATAGTGCAAAATGAAATATAATTGTTTGGTAATTGTGTACAATAAAATTAGAGGGCTCTTGATGGTTAAGGGAGATCCATGAAACAAAATCATTCAGAGGGTTAGAACCACTAAGAGACAGACTTTTTTTTAACAAATAAGATTCACCTCTTAACGGTTCAGTGATTGTATTTTAATAAAACTATTAAGAGGTAAATAAACAACCCATAAATTCTTTTGGATGATTAGATATTTATTTTAAAACACATATTGAAATGCATCCAAACCCAATCAATTCGAAATACGTATCCAATTTTAAAAACTTTGATGGATAAGGCATAAGACTATACGTTCACCAAACCAATCCGGCTACCGTCGCCGGGATCGGAAAAATGGCAATTTCTTTCCATTCTTTCTGTATTCAATCATCTACTATGATCTTCATTCTGTGGAGTATAATCATTCAATCGGAATCGTACACTTCATCATCCATCCGTCTTCCTCGATCTCAATCTAGATCTCCGCCTGTTACTATCTTCGTCACCGAATATGGCGCCACCGGCGATGGCGTTCACTACGACACTGGACCTATTCAGTCCGCAATCGATGCCTGCTCGTTAGCGGGTGGCGGTCGTGTCGTTTTCCCGCCGGGGAATTACTTGACGGCGACGGTGTTTCTGAAGTCTAGAGTGGTGTTGGAGGTGCAGAAGAACGCGACCGTATTGGGAGGGACAAGGCTGGAGGATTATCCGGCGGAGCAGAGCAGGTGGTATGTGGTGGTGGCGGAGGATGCGGAGGACGTTGGGATCACTGGCGGCGGCGAGATCAATGGTCAAGGGTTGGAGTTTGTGGTGAAGTTTGACGAGAGGAAGAATGTGATGGTGAGCTGGAATCAGACCGGGGCTTGTACCGGCGATGAGTGTAGGCCACGACTGGTTGGGTTCATCAGATCTAAAAATGTTAGGGTTTGGGATATTCATTTGACCGAGCCTGCTTATTGGTGGTTCGTTCTCACTCTCTCTCTCTCTCGGAAACACGCAATCGATCTCCATTAACACACACAAACACATACTAGACCTGAGAACACACATTCAAGTAGTCAAAATTGATGCATAAACCGAAGAAATTTTGAAACAAGTTGTACAATTGGTACTGTATTGATCTTCAAATAAGTTTACAATGTTCTTAACTTCTAATTCAGGATGTTGTGATTACAGCTTGCATTTGGTACAATGTGATAACACATACATTCATGATATGTCGATCTACGGAGATTTCAATACCCCAAACAATGATGGAATCGACATAGACGATTCAAACAACACTGTCATCACAAGATGCAGCATCAACACCGGAGATGATGCCATCTGCCCAAAGACATACGATGGCCCTCTGTACAATCTCACCGCCACAGATTCTTGGATTCGCACAAAATCTTCCGCTATCAAATTTGGAAGTGCTAGTTGGTTCGAATTCAAAGACCTTCTCTTCAATAATATCACGATAGTAGACTCTCATCGAGGACTTGGACTACAAATACGTGATGGAGGTATGAACATCACTACCCATGTTATGAATAATCACTTGGTAACACAAAACACGCACTTCAACATCAACCAAACCAAAACTACATTGTATATACCACTCAGATTAGGGTCTGAAAAAGGTAGGATGTATCTCCTGAGTTTTACCACAAAAGGTAGAAAAGCTGCTTCCGCAAAGACCCCAACTTTCGAAAAAGTTTTATCCAATTTAAGGATGAGATTCAAATAAAACATGGGGGGAGGAGCGCATTGGAATTGCCCGATCTTTACACATTAAATTTCGATACTTGGGTTAGATTGTTGTATTTACACCTGATGCGCTTTGATTTGCAATGGTGCGAGTATGTTGCACTCATATTTCGTATTTTTGATGATGACAATTTTGCGTACCCGTTTAGGTGTTTTCTAATTTGTTGTTTTCTTGTATGACAGGAAACGTAAGAGACGTAACTTTTTCAAACATAAACATAACTACGAGATACTATGATCCGTCATGGTGGGGTCGGGCCGAGCCGATTTACGTGACAACATGCCCAAGAGATGACACTTCAAAAACCGGCACAATCTCCAACTTACTTTTTGTTAACATCACGGCGACATCAGAAAATGGGATTTTCTTGTCGGGGTCAAAAAACGGAAACCTTAGGAATTTAAAGTTCTTGAATGTGAACCTTAATTACAAACGATGGACTAATTATGCCGATGGGTTGGTTGATTATAGACCGGGATGTCAAGGTTTGGTGAACCGTAGCTCGGCAGGGATCATGATGGAACACATCGAAGGTTTGGAGGTCAAGAATGTAAATATGAGATGGTTAGGGGACCGCGTACGACGATGGAATAATCCTTTGGAGTTTAGGCCATCAAATGTTGATAACGTTTCTTTGTTGAATTTTCACTCGGGTTCGTACGATGAGTAGATATGTCGAAAAACGATTCATTCTTTAAGTGTAGGTATGTGTTTTTATGCGTGAGAAATAATGAACCCATTTCCTGCTCGTTTATTTTGACATGGATTGCTTCGACATCTACATTTAACGAGTTCTATTATGCTTGTAATTGTAAACGTCAATATTTACGAGCTAAATACCCTGTTCTCGTAAAATCTTTTAAAAAAATAGATGAATGCCGATTTGGAAACGTGACTTCCATGAAGGTCGTTTAATTAAATAGACCCACTATTTTTGTTCAGATGTATAAGATCTTTGGCCAATAGTACTATATATTGTTTGTATTTTAAAACTGTGAGATCAGATGTGGACAAAACTGATGATACGTTGATTGGGGAGGTGAACAAATATTGCCTTATAAGGGACTGTATGCCTCTTTATGAGACACGTTTTGAAACCGTGAGTTCAGGTATAGACATACGTATAATATCTAGTATGATTGACGATGAAATAAAACCAAATAAACCCAATAAATCTCCATCTGATGTTGGGTCTGAATAGGATAAGATATATGTAATCTTTTCTCTATTGAAAGAATAAAGAGGCTGTTTTCATGAAAGCCTTCGGTTTGTCAAATCTTTTGTCATAAAAACATGATGTTTTGTACTTAGATTTCCTTACCAAAATAACCATCCATAATTATGAATTTTTATTTTTAACCCTATTTTTAAAAAATATCACAAAATAGCAATGGATTACTCATTAAGTACCGTTGGTGCTTACAAGGGTTTTTTTTGCAAATAATAAAAGTTCTGATTTTCTTATTTAAAAAACACACACACATATATATACTATCTTATAAAGCATTTGGCTAAAACTCTTAAAAACTCTTAAACCCGTTCATCTCTAAACGATTTCATCTCATATATGAATTCGTGTAACTAACTGCAGATAAACACAATCAAATACATGATATATATATATCTCATTTTAAATATAAAAAATCTAAACTATAATTAGTATAATCATTAAATTCTAACA